TGGCAGTGAAAGAGAGCAGGCTGATGGGGAGGCGTAATGATATGCAGTGTGTATTGACTGAAAGCAGGCAAGATGCTATTCAGCGCTGGCTGGGAGTCATTATGTGGGCGCTGCCTTGAAGGTGACCTGTCATGAGGATAAGGATGAAAGGGCTGGTTGCAGACACACACACACACACACACACACACACACAGACGCACACACAATGATTTTAATGCTTGCTGGACAAAGGAAGGTTTGGGTTGCACATATGTCTGTGTGTACATGTATACGTGTGCATCCTTAGCTACCCCCTGAGTAGGTAACCAACTGTTGCCTCAGAAAACACGGCTGAGGAGGGGGAAGTAAGAATTATATGGACGGCACTGACACGCACTCTTAACAATGCCACCTGACCCTGAGACATGTGTTTATGTCACTCCATAGCAACTGTTCAAGCCTGACTGAAGCTCTGTCTTTCTAGCTCATGCTCTCCTTCACACAAAGAGAAAGGGGTGATAAAAAAAAAGGAAATATTTTTGAAGGCAGCTGGTGGTCTGTATGCTGTATTAAATATCAGATGCCTTTATTTGGCGTTCAATAACCTGAGGCATATCCCGTGATATTACTGTGATCTGATCTGATCCAAGGCAGCTAAGAAACTTTGTTAAATGTCTCCTCAGCTCTGTCCCCGCTTTGCATTTGGATACAGAATCCAATTCACATCGAGTGGAGCCAGACGCTCCATCGAATCAGCCTGTGCAGCCTCAGACACTGGCCCACTTTCAGTCAATCGGGAGCACAGAAGTGGAGCTCCCACATACTCGGCAGACTCAATTATGCAACCAACTCTGCAAACACTGTTTGGATGTGCTCTGATGCTTCACACCTGAGAATAACAGCCTGCAGAGGTGCAACTTTAGAAAGCATAATCTGTTCCTCAGTAAGTCACACCTTTCTCTTACCGTCATGTAAACAGTGAGTACGTAATGAGTAGCGGTGACAGTTTTCTGGATAATAGATCTCACTTAAGGTAGTTTCAGTTCTTCACCAGCTGCATCTCCCAAAAGCACAAATATGGAGGTAAACATCACTGGAAAGGTTCAAATATGATATCTGATTTCTTAATTTCTCCTCTATCTGTTCAGTTCCAGAAATAAGCAGCAGAAGCAATCAGATGCTTTCTATCAATGGCTGTGGGTCACCATAGCAACGCTTGTACTTTAATGTTAACCCACTCTTCTTCTCACTGGACTAACAGACTTTTTTTCCATTCACTTGCAAACACAAGTTAGCGATGATTATCACACAGTTTTACTGAATATTTGATTCTATTTGGTCTATTAAAGCTTTGAGCAGCCCTTTGTATATGAATAACTACGCATGGTTATGAATGACTGGCTGTTGCTATGGATATTTCACATCCGGTCAAATCACTCTGCAGGGACAATTTAGGTCAGTCGCTCAGTATCTTGCTGAAAAACATCAAGAAACGACATCTTTATTGTTCTGATTGCAGCTTCTTTTGAGAATAATAGTTGTAGTCATGGTTACAGGCATGTTACTTTGCACATCACTATGAATGAAGTTTAAATGATAGATTCTACTGAAATACTGTATTTTGTCAAATTACTGATTTCATTCCCAATAAGTGATGTAATAAGTGGGACTAAGTACAGAGAGAAGACATGGCAATAATAACCAGCTTGCTGTGTATTTTTACCTTAAGAGTCAAATAATAAATGCTAATGGAGTTAAGGATGGAGGTCAAGCAATGCACATGCATTGACATGTAGCCTATGTGAACAATGCAACTGAATATGTAGTGGTGATATTAGTTGATGGAAAATCATCATCATGTGACACTGGGGACAGAATTATAGAGAGGAAATGTTACTCTGTACGCGATGGGACAAAATTTTGGTATCGGAAGCATTCTGGTTTCCATTTGTAGTCGGTTTGTAGTCCGACTAGTGTCAACCAATCAAGTTTGAACAGCAGGTAAACAGTCTGTTTGGAGAAGCAGAATGTAAATCATCTCATGTTTTATTAGCTGTTTTAACACAACTGCATTCATATGCAGATATCTGTTTACAGAGATTAGCCAAAATTACTGGCTCTCAGAGGACAAAGTCTTGGCCAAGATATCCACTGGCCACAGCCTGAAATATTGGCCTTGCCCCCAGCTTTATCGCCATCAGACAAGAGCCGATGAGCTCTGAGATTAAGGAAATGTTAACAAGACAAAAGTACACCGGTGTGGGTTAACCAGACAGTAAGGTAAGAGGCTGTTTCTAAGCAGGCATTGTGGCTGTGCCCAGGTGCAATTAATAGCGGTAATTAACGAGTCCAGGGAGGCACTAAAAATAATTGGTACAGGTGCAACAGCTACGCCATGGATGTCTTGCATGTAGGAGAACAGAGATGAACTAATTAACAGCAGTAGAATCACCAAACTTGGCAACATAAAGGGATGGTCAGTTGCATTTGTAAACAAAATGGTAGAGGCTTCCTCGCTTATTTACATTAAGATCAAGATCAAGCTCAAGATTAACTTAATGTCTCACAACATGGGAAACTTGTCATGGGCCCCACACCCATACTGCAGCCATAGAAATACAACATGCAACATAGAACACAGACAAATCAACTTTATATCCAACGTAGCAATAAGAAACACAAAAAGATAAATAAATAAATAACATTATATGCTAAAAATATAAAAATGCAAATCAGCAAATTGTCATAATCCAATTAATATTTAGAAGCTTTATAGACAGAAGTATGAATAACCTTTTAAATCTGTTCAATCTGGAACGAGGCACTCTAAGGATGCATTCATACTGGTGCTATTTGGTCCACTTTAAATGAACCCTGGTCCGCTTCCATGGATAGTTCGGTTCATTTGAAGTGGTGTGAACACTCATTCAAACTCTGGTGCAGACCAAATGAGTGAACCCTAGTCCGCTTGAAAACTGGGGGTCTTGGTTCACTTTGCAAGTGAACCCTGGTGCGGTTTGCTTACAGTGGAAAATGCAAATGGACTATCCATTGAACCAAAGTCCAGTAGGATTGAACCAAAGTTTCGGTCCTGGCCAATCAATGAGCCAGGTTTTCTTCTTCCTTATGCTTTTATTCTTCCTGGTCAGTGGTCGTTTTGGGCAATACCGCCCCCAAACGAGCAGCTGTTGTACTGTGTGACATTGCCCAGGCGGTTTGGTTCGCTTTAAAATATGCAGTGTGAAAGTGAACTGAACCAAATGAAATTTTTCGGGCATTTTTTGCCCAATTGAACCGAGTCCCCCAGACTGTCCTGGTGTGAATGCGCCCTAAGTCCCCTACCAGAGGACAGCAGCTCGTACTCTGTATGCAGAGAAGGCACTGATGATCTTATAGGCTTGACTTAGAGTAGCCAAGTAGCTACGATACAACCCAATCCCATTAGAACTGTGTGGCAAGAAAACAGCTTCAATCTCTCTGCTCTTTAGACGTGGCTTACCTACTGTATGTACACAAATACATTGCTCAGATTCTTGTCTTGACAACAAATACTTTTAGAAATAAGAGAGCCAGATACCACTGATCCATCTGCATTCAGTTTTCTATCTGAAAATAGCCTCACCGGTAGAGTTCAGTGCTTTTATGCAAAATACACACCTGCTACACCTGAATGATAGCAAATGGTATCAAAAATTGGCCAACTGTTACAGAGTGACAATCTCTATTACTTCCGTAGGATCCTACCATGTTTTAAGCCCCAGGGATTTCTGTAGAGGTTTTATATAAACTAGGAATGTTTAATGTTAGTATTTACATGGTGAGCCAATTGGGTAATATTGTGTTTGAATTTTCTACGAGGTGTTTGACCTTTATCCCAGAGAGAAGGCGCTGTAGCTTCCTCTTCATGCTGTCTTAGTCTGTCCCTCTTTAACTAATTGGATTAATCTTGGAGCTTTAATTAGAACGATCAGGTGGTCAAAACCAGACGACACTGTAGGAGCAGGGACTTAGCTTAAACTCCCATAGGTTCAATTATACATCAAGAAGATATATTCTTATGTAACATCTTATACAACAATAGCATTCTAATATTAATTTTTATAGTAACATAGCATGAATATAGAAGTCTACTAGTGGCGTTGTTTATCTCCTGCTTGACATTGCGTTCTTAGATTGTTGTAGAGAAGAAGAAAGAGTAGCAAGAGGACTACTTTTACTGTAAAAACATGATGATGGATACGGCTGTTCATCACCACAGGGAGCATCAAACAACAGAAAGGCCTGAAGCTGGCCTACATTTTATCCGTGGACCTACACAGCAGCCTCACCGTTGACTTCCCCTGCTCATCAGGGGACTGGGAGCCCTTCACACTCAAAGCCTTCAGTATCCACACACAACACCCTGAGGACTATTCCTCATTTTATAAAAAATCAAACACTCCCCTACTTCATGACCCAATCAATACCAAATACTTTGCATTTTTTCAATACAGTCAGCTGTTTTGCTCCAAGAAATAAATCACGCTGCTTCGACCTTTCTGTTACCATGCAGCATAATGAAACAGGGAGTCAATGTATTGATTTCCTAAAGGACAACTGCACACACTGTGCCTCTTTATTAATGAGGGGGAAACCACACCACAGCTCAGAGCAGAGCAGAGCAGAGGGAAACCCCGCAACTTTCCATCCTTCACTGAAACTGACATGAGCCCACACAGTAAAGACACTTCACAACACTTTAATATGGGATATAGGTCTCGGTTATAGCGCGAGGAGGTGGTGACATCCTGTTTGTTGCATCGCATTAACCAAAAAGGGAGCACAGCTGCGCGTCTTGACCCTTATTCTAATTGCCGGAGTGACGTAACTGTGACCGAAGAATAAGCTATAGTGGCAATATGGTACCTGATAGTGATAACACAGCCACTGCTAAGAGCATTATGAATTAAACACAATAGGCCTGAACAATAGAGCGTCAATTTTAATACAGACACATGCAGCCTGAAATATTTATTTCTTACCGTAAAAGGCATTTCGCGTTATCTGGCCACCCATTGCTTTATTCCTGTAGAGTCCGCTTATCGCCTGTATGGATTATTCAGATGTCCTCATTGCAGTCCGGCGCTCGTGACATGATTGCACGTTCGCATCCGAAAGGCAGCCTATCGTTCCTGTCCTCCGAATAGATGCACACACTGGAGACAAGAGACCCACACCTCCTTCTTGTGAGCGCAGGGACACATCCGCGAAGGCAACTCCCCCCCCCCCACCAACTCCATTCACTGAGTGCTCTCTCCGCCTCGGGTCCCACTCACTCATACTGGTATTTACATAAAAGGTGGAGACTGGCTGAGCGCCTTTAACGCTGTCACTGCCGCACCGAGCTGCCATGAGGAGGAGTGGACTATTTATGGAGCACGAGGTGGACCAGGAGGCATAAACAAAATATTACAATCTGTAATCCACCTGTATTAAATTTAATCCCTTTGTAGGTTTAGATCAATACAACCAATTAAAGGAAATAATAAAATAGATTTTACTGTATACAGAGCACTGCTGATTTACAAACACAGGTCACACAAGCTAAGCCTAAGTATGGATCCAGAGAGTAAGTGCTCACATTCTTTACTTTCAGCACTCACTCTTTCACCCTCCATACTTCCTTATGTGCCTCAGGCCCCTGGCAGGCAGACTGGGTGACCCCTCAGGAGTCAGGCCTCTGACTTGAGCTGTCATCACGTATCCGTGGTGACCTCATGGCCCTCAATCTCAGACACCACTGTGTTTACTCTGGGCCTGAAGCTGCAGGCGTTCAGATAATGGCACTGTGAGGGACAGGGTGAGGTAAATTAGATATATGAATTAATGGTATATAAGCAAAAGTATACTGGGTAGAAATTTTACTGATGTACTGTGGTATGTGTATAGTGGTTTATGTATTTTATTGTGCTTCCATGTTTATAGTGTATTGTGGTTCTATGATGTTTTAAACTATATTTTTAATAACATTTTTGGTCTACATATAAAACTAGGGACAAGAGTTGAAAATTAGCAGCAACCATAAACTCTCTGTGCAACACATCAGTCCCATATTGTGTATTGGAGCTATGTTAAATTGCATCATCGCTATTAAATAAAATAAAGGATAAAGAAGTAGCCTATAAAGATCTTTTTCTAAGCATTGCATAGTGTTCATATTTTTGTAATTAACCCAGTGTTTGTGGGCCTGGTGGAGCCACAACATTATCAGGGTTTTAAAACAATAAAGCCATAGCAATTTATGCAAAAAATCTTGATATGCCATACCATGTTGACTTAATCAATGGCACGAAATATAGATATAGACAGCATATGGTTAATATTTGCCATTTGTCACTGCTAGATCAGATGTGTCAATAAAAATGCGATTCTTCATATGATGAAATATGATTTTTGTTTTTAAAAAAATAAATAAAAGAATA